TGTTTGTTTGTTTATTTGTTGTTTAATGTCCCAAAACAGAATTTCTATATCGTTTGTAGACATCACTAATTGGCAGTCGGGACATGCAGCTGCAAATTTTGTTCTATACTCGGCACTTATGGCCATTGAGCAGTGAGGGATCTTTTTCGTGCCAGCACCTATTGCAACACAGGACCTCAGTTTATATGGTCTCATCAGAAGGACTCAGGTTTCCGAACCCATGACGTAAGGATCAACTCCTTACTTTGGAACCCTAGGGCAGACGCTCTAACCACTGCGCCAAGTGGTCAGACACTGTGGTATCTTTTATTTCAAGCTTAATTACTCGGGGCCGATATATGAATGGAAGTTGCTATAATGTTAATTGATAATACATAATCCCTGGATCTTAGTGACAGTGTCAAGATAAAGGCAATTGTTTTCCTGACTTGTCATGTATAATTAAGATTTTTAATAAATCTGCTATTATATGAAAACAAAAATTGGTCTGCAATTGGTACCCATGGGAATTCTGACAGATTTTTGGAAGACCTGGGGCCCGTTTTACAAAAGAACTTACGACTACGACCAAAAACTTCAGATTATTGTAAAATTTTGCAAAATTAATAATTGTCTTTAAAAATGTCTATGTAAAAATATCTTATCACATTCTTTTTCGAAAGTTTAAAATAATTTTCTATAAAACATTAATTAAAAAGTTATATTAATAATTAAACTTGGTCTTAAGTTGTAAGTCCTTTTGTAGAAGGGGCCCCTGGTCTCCAAAAACTACATAGATATTGTCATTGAATCAATGAAATGTTGAAAAGTCATACGTAAATTTTGATCTTACTCCTTTGAGTATCCAATTAGCCCCTTCACGGTAACTGCGGTACTACTCTTTTGCAGGGCAAAATAATTACGTTTGGCAGAGTTTTTGTTGACAGATAATTAAATGACGTATACTTAACAATTACTTTTACGTCATATTTCACCAAACTATATCATTTTGCCCTGCAAAAGAGCAGTACCGCAGTTACTGTGAAACGGTTCATTATTTTCAAAGCTGAAATGTTTATTTCTAGATTGAAGGACAATTATAGTTATACAGCTGAAGATATTTTTTAAGATATAAACTGTACATCTGCTGTTAAAGACTGAGTAGTATTTTTGCCGTTTACATTCAGTTTGTCACTAGTCAGGCTTCCACATACCCCCAAAATAAATAGGTCAGTGCTAAAAATAAACCAACAGGATAAACTATGCATAAAAATAGCATGTTTACCTAATTACATATAATTCTACCCTCAACCAGCAACTTTATTTAGGATACATTTAACCCACAAAACACCCTTCAATGTGATTTGTTTAATTTTAACTTAATTAGTCTAAAACATACAAGAAAACCCTATCTTGGCTGTAAAGTGAGTGTGACTATAATACGTACTTCAAAGGATAAATAAAGCTTTAAAATATCATAAAATTGCTTATTAGAATTTCAATTCATAAATATATATGCACATGCTTACCAAAACTGTCTTCCTTCTCTTGAAATGTCAGCGCGAGCTAGTGTCCGTTGTTTACACTTTTCTCCTTCCCGCGCCAATAATCCGACGTTTGCCGGGGAGTGTTCACGCAGCGCATACTCGGCTTATTTCGGGTTCGAGGTAGCACGTGACCTACATAGGTGTAAATAGAGCAGCTAGGACTAGTCATACAATATCGTTTTTCCAAAAGGGAAAGGGCACGGATAGACAGATTAAGAAAAAGAGAAAAACTTGGTTTTTAAAATCAATTCGGGGGGGGGGGGGACACAAATTTTCTTTAAAAAGTACGTAATACTGTATATCTAAATATATTAGTAGGTCAACAAAAATTATGCATTCATAAAAAAATACACTTTCTGTATGATTTCAGAAGAAAAAAATCAAACAAAGTACATGTACATGTATTACAAATTTGTAATTTTTTCATCTTACTTGTAAATTTGTGAAAAAGACAAGTGCTTTTTATGGGGGCAAAAATAAAAATCATTCAAATTCGAAAATCCTAATTGCTTGTGGCATCTCACATGTTTCATTTGGGGTTTTTTTTATTAATTAGTCAGTTGTCCGATCACCAACTAAGATTAAGATTACTGAAATTACAAAAATTTTGTTGTAAGGGAGGAGGGGGGGGGGGTTACAGGATGCCATAAATCGTTGCACCTTTACCAATAACAAAACGCTGAAAACCGGAAGATTGCGTTTCCCTTAATGGAATAATTTGTTTTTGGTGTACTTTCAAAATTTCCGTATTTTATTAACATGAAATTTTATATTCAACCACGACCATGCAAAACAATTATTTAGATTTTCGAGATCAAGCTAGACAAAAATATTTCAAAATCAGAAACAAAAAATTTGATCTGTCAATTTGGTGAAAAGAAGATAAAAATGAAGGACAGCATTTAAAGTCTAGTGCTTAATTAACTGTTTGAACTGAAGTGTATGCATTCTCGACAATTTGTGGAGACTAAGTATGAAAAGAATGAATACCGACCACTGTAATTTATTTCAATGAACTGCAGTTGATCCCATATTATATAAATGTATGAAATTGTTAGCGGCATTGTACTTGTTCATTTATTTGTGTAAAATAAACTCCCGCACGAAATTTTAAATTATGCTCTTAGCCATGATGAAATGTAAAGACTTAAAGCATTAAACATTTTCATTCACCATGGCGATGTAGATTAAACATGATCACTGATGATGATATCGCAAATTGGAAAATATGGAGCAAAGATCTGCTCAAATGCCTTGAATTCTTTTGATTAAATGTTTACGAATGGTTTCACTATTTAAACTTATGTGAATTAAGAGGCATTCTCTGTAATGATTTGAAATTTTATATAGGAGCTGTGGCACGCATAGTCTCAGAATTTCTCCAAACTCTCTATGATAAAAGTCATTGATACCCTAAACTGAAATCAGGCAAAATTGGTTGCTATGTTTATAGTTACCATGGCAACATGTCTTCAAGTTCGAAAAATGGCATTTTTTAACATGTTTAGAGCCCTATAGTTAACATTTGCGGCAAAGCAAACAATTGGCAATGACTGTTTCCAAAAGTTGAAGGTCAGATGCCTCAAATGCATGATAAACATGTTTGGTAAATCAACTATTACATACGTTACTATGGAAACAAAGTATTCAAAAGTAAAAAAAAATATTCATAGAATTTTATAAAGTCATACACGTAAAAATAGAAAGCAATTATAGTATGAAATGTGACCAAATAATAGAAAAAAGAGCCTTGAAACATATATCAAGAACAAAATATGATAATTCATTTTGGTTGGCAATGGTTGCCAAGGTTTTTATACCACAGAGAGCCTTCAAAGTAACACTCTGTATGTTTAAATCTGATCCTATCTTTTAAAAAAGCACATTTCCTCATAACTAATGATCAATTTTATAAAATGTTGGTGTGCTCCATGTTTTCCCATTTCAAAAAAATCAGATTAGATTCTTTAAATATAGCGTTGCTATGGAAATAAGCAGAAAATATATGCTTAAAAACCTGAAAAATATTTTCTTTCCTTGGATACGTACCCTTAAATGTAGATTCCCAAAACTTTTATGATTGATATTTATTAACAGCTAACTTGACTTTAAATTTTAACTATCATCCAATCTCTAAGTGGATGCAAGAAGTTGGCACACAGGGTTTAATATTGATATAAAGTTCACAAAATCGAACATTTTCCCTTCTTGGTAACCATAGCAACAGTGTTGTTTTATTCATCAAATTTTACCAATATATGATATTCAACTTCAGTTCTAACGGATAAGTTCTATTCAAGCTGAGTCCTTTAATTTGTTTCTTGATTAAATGGCAATTTAATTTTTAATGCAGCGAAAAATAATTCATTTTTAAGCACTGGTACTTTGTTTCCATGGTAACACTGCAAAGTAGCAATTATACCCAATTTTTCTTGTGGTCTTGGTGTTGCAAGGTCCTAAGGATGCATATTTGCCAGTCTTGAATTTTCATGTTTTTCCTCAAGGCAGTAGCATTAACCCAATCTTAGTTACTGGTTTTGCATAGTTACACTGTGTTACCATGGCAACCATAAAAGTTATTTATAGAATAATATTGCTTATACTTATATACTTAAGGTCAAACATTTTCATTGTTTTTCTTAAGTTGCTGATTGAGTTTGAGCATGTAACACCTACAATAAGTGAATACAGGGTGTTTTTCAGCAAATTTCAGCATTTTAAATGTATTCCGAATGTACCCTTAGTTACCACTTACTTAGAGATATATTCTAAACAGTTTCTTTACAGTATGAGTGACAGCAAGGTGTCATGTTTTTGTGAGAATGGTTTGTTTGCTTTTTCTAGTTTTTATGAAGCCACAGTCAAGATTTAAAGTGGCTGAAAATCTCGATTTTTCAAACTTTTCCGGCTGTTGCCATAGCAACCGAGACACATAGCAACGAAATTTTGTTTGATATTTGTTTCTGGTGTCAAGTACTAAGCATGGATGAAGTTTCATCAAAATCGGTGACCATGCGTGGCAACGAAGTTTAAGTGGTTACAGAGAATGGCTATTAAAACATCTTTTTGGCAATTTCCTTTTTATAAGTTACATGTGTATATGAGGAAATCTCAGTTGTTTGTGAAGTCAAACTTTAAATATATAAATAAACATTCGTGCATGCACAGGACATTTTCAAAACTTTATACCGGGGTGGGGGGGAGGGGGGGTGGGGGGTGATTGTACCCTATCTCACAGATTTCCCTCGGTCCCATCGAGTTCTAGCTGCAGAACTGTAGCGTTATAGTTTTATAATAATTTATATAAGTCTTTGACCATAACGAAGATGGAGAATTCTCTAAAACAGTGCGCAAAATATCTCGCGCCGTAAATCGCACATTTGTTGCATTACGGGATCTGTAGCGTTATGGTCAAAGACTAATATATAAAACCATAACTACAGTTCCGCAGCAAATCGAGTTCGAGATATGAAGTTTGACTGTAGTTCTTTATTAAAACTAGCATGTACTCGAATGTTTTCATACTTGATAGTGTATTTTCTTTACATGATTTTTTAACAGTTGTCCGACAAACAGATTGTCATTTGTATCTGTACATAATCCCCACGGACCACTCAGTTCACAGTCTATGAAAGCCAGGAACTGTCCATTATGATCTATGATGTGGACACAGTTATTATTCATATCAGCTGTAAGGATGTGACTCTGGCTGTCTGTGGAGATTCCGTGAGGACCGAATGGTTCGTTCTTCGGAGCAGGGGTGTGTCCAGTGTACCTAAATCTCAGTTTCCCGGCTTGATTGACCACCACCACTGCATTAGCTCTTACGTCTGCCACACAGATATTCAGGTTCCTGTTCTCACTGATGCATTTAGATTTACCAGAGGAATAGAGAGGTTGACCTTTATCATCAAACTGAATGGTTTGTTTCTCATTGGAGCCAGAGTATCGGACAACTTTTGCTTGTTTGTTGTCATCACTATCCATGGTAACCAGGAGGTCACCAGAGGAAGTGCTGCAGACATTGGAAGGCTTCCAGTTCTGTAGTTTGATCACAGTCTCAATCTCTCCATCCTTCACAATGTTAACAGATCTGTCTGTGGGATCAATATAAACAAGATGGCCACGGTTTGTCACTGCTATATTGCCGGGTATGTTTCCCGTCTTCGTTTTTATCGTCTTGAGAAGTGTGCCTTGACTGATGCTGAATAGTTCAATGTTGTTTACAAGTCCACAGGTCCAGATTTCTTCATCAGACAGACAGGCCACGTCAAAGAGATTGTCGTACACTGAACCGCTGTTTCCAGTTCTTATGGTGGAAACGACCTTTGGCTTTTTAAGTAGCTGTTTTACTGGTGGACCCACTTCTTCTGATTCCTGCACCTTCTTCCCGCTGCAGCAATCATCATCAGAAAAAAGAGATAGAGTTGATAGTTTCCCGAACTGCTTCACGAATTCTTCTTGTTGACATCGTATTGGAGTAAATTTTGGACTTGATACCTCCAGTTTGGTAGGAAGTTTTCTGAATTCTAATATTTTTCTGTTGAACTGGAGAAGTGGAGCGATGTCATTGGATTCCATTGTCATTTTGGAGGTTTGGATTGCCTCTTCTAATTCTGATACTCTCTGATTTATTTCAGCCAAGTTTTTCTTCAGAATGTCATAGTGTCTAGATTTCATGGTGTCGACTTCAGCTTTAAGATTTTGAACAATTTTGTTAATTATCCCATGCCACTCTTCTCCATGTTTTGTTATGGCTGCTGATAAATCTCCATATTCCTTTTCGAGTTGATTCATTCTGTTCTGTACATCATAGGCAGTATTCTCGTAGACTGGGTAAATACTCATCTGCATTTCTTCATTTTCTCTTGCGATTTCCTTTTTCATAGAACTATACAGCGTCATTATTTCACAAATTTTATGGCTTGAATGACTTTCAGAGGAAATGCAAACACTACATATTGGAACATTACAGTGATTACAGAACATTTCACATCGTTCTTTGTCATGAGAAGTACATCTAGGGTAAGGAAGAGTTGATTTTCGATGTTTGAATTGAACAATTTCATGTTTTTTACTGGCTTCATCAGACATTGAGTGTTCTCCCACACAGGCCTTACACAAGTTGATGAGACATGTACCACAGTGCATCTGTACCACAGCGGTCTTGCACAGGGCACATCGCGTCGCGTCCTTGGTTTTGGTTCTGGGCTCCATTGCCGCAATGAATCTGAAATTCGTGAACCAAGATGTATACAGACGCATGGGAGTAAAGGCACAATGTTACGTTCGTGCATTTACAGAAGGATTATATGATGGAAATTTTGAATAGCTTAGTTTTTAAACTTTAGACAGAACTGTCGTTCATTGATATCTAGACTATTTGAAAATTTAAATAAATAGCTGCAATAATGCAGCCTTCCCAGAATTTTTAAAATCTGATATCCCCCACCACCACCAAAAGAGAGGGGTACATTATTGCCGCTAGACTGAATGAGATTTTTAATTTTCAAATAAAGATCGTTAGATGAAAAGCACTTTAAATTATTTTTTTCATTTTTTTTTTTTTGTGGTATAACACATTAAGTTTAAATGGATTCGTATTCATTTGTATTTTTCAGCTGAATGCTAATTTCATCTGTATTAAATTACCTGGCTATTAAAAATCAATTGTTTCGACATAAAAAATGAAAAGATTCAATGGTTATGTTGAGATTATTTTTGTAAATGTTGCGCAATGCCCCGAATCTACATGACTATGTTTATTAAGTGTTATTCTTTAAAAAGATTATCAAAGGTAATCAGGTAATTGCCATATGATATTCAATTAAAGGCTTGTTTTACATTATGAACAAATATTTAATAAAACACAAACCTGGTGTCTATGTGAGGTAATTTCCATTAGACATGTTGGATCCACAGTTGTTTTTGTTGTAGGTTAACCTATAACTTCCGTGTTTACCTGCTTAGTTACCTGAGGGTCATGTGATCTTAATTGTTTAAATTACTGATAAAGGAGTTGTCTTTCTTCTCAAACCACTATAATCATCAATTCCACAGAATTTATTGTATTTTTATGCCCCCATAAACGACTTTTCGGGAGTACATAGTTTTTGTCGTGTCCGTCCGTCTGTCTGTTTGTCTACAAAAACTTGAACCTTGCCCATAACTTTTGACTGGGTGGGGCTATGGCTTTCATATTTCACAGGTGTATATCTTGTAACAAGGCCTTTTTTTGGTACCACCAAATTTGACCTCTTGACCTTGTTCTTGGAGGCTGACCCACTTTTACACCAAAATTCCAAACTTTTACGTTGGCCATAACTTTTGAACGTTTGGAGCTAGGACTTTCATTTTCCCGTATGTATTCTTTGTGAAAAGCCCTTTCATTGGATATCAACAACTTTGACCCATTGACCTTAAACTTGGAGTTTGACCTACTTTTAAAAAACTTTAACCTTGGCAATAACTTTTGAACGGTTTGTGCTAGGACTTTCATACTTCACATAATTAGGTATTCTTTGTGACAAGGCCTTTCTTTAGAAACCAATAACCTTGACCCTTCGACCTTGATCCCGGAGTTTGATATACAAACGTTAAATAAAAAACGTTGACCTGGGCCATTTTTGAACAGGTTATGCTGGGGTTTTAAATTTCATATGCATTTGTGTTTCTTGTGAGAAGGTATAGCAAACCTTTTTACTATTTATTTAAGGAATAACTGTCTTATTTTTCGATTTCATGAAGTGATCAATCGATTGGCTTGCGTGATAATTTGCATAAACGCCGAAGGCGTTTATGCATAAAATTATCATGCAAGCCAATCGATTGATCATCTTCATGAAATTGAAAAATCTGACAGTTATTCCTTATATTTACATGCTTTGATTCCGCCAATCCACGTGCTCCAGGCCCTGCTTCGTCTAGCTGTTTGTCCCGCCCTGCACGAGGTTTTTTTGGAACCGCGCCAATACATTGATGGAGAAATAAAGTACATTTACATTTGGTAATTTTATCTCGGACAAAGACATTGGAAATGTAAATATTCGTGAATAAACATTTTCTTTCAATAAGAGAGATATCTCTCTAGCATAGAGAGATAGAAGGCCTTACTTTGAGTATTTGTTCCTTCGGTATTTTGCCATACGGGGGCATCAATGTTTCACAAACACATCTTGTTTCTATCTCAAACCACTAATCATCAATTCCATATGATTTATTCAATTCATTTACAGCAGATATTTCTAAATTCTTACTTCTAAATATTAATCAGTAATGTTCCAATTCCTTTGATTAAAAATATTGACATTGAGCCAAGGTATTTTCTACGTAATTCTAAATATGAATTTTGAATGCGAACTGGAACTCGAAAGCGGGGTTAATTATTTGTCCCAACATCTGAATGAGAAAAGAGGTTTGAAACAAGACTAGACCTTTCAAAATCTCTTAGATTTTTAACCCTGTGACCTTGGCCTTGAATTTAACCTACTTTACAATGAATTAAACACTGGTTTAACTGGTTGGAGTATTTGTATTTGACATGCATAGGTTATGCATGATAAGATAGAAATTGATAAGTAGTTACCGAATGTGCAATGATTTTTGACTTCGTGACCTTGACCTTTAGGTGTGTCCTTATTTTCAGAAATTCTATCATTGCTTGAGAGTGTGCATTACCTGGGACAAGAATTTTTTTTTTACCTTTTACCTTGATGTTTTATTCCACTTTCAAAAACAAAAATTACCGCAGAAATATGGTTGGTATACTGACAACTCAGCATAAAAGACCAATAATCAATCAATCAAAAAAATATCATTGCTACTTGAAGGAGAGGAAATAGAGTAACTGTGCAGTATCCTCTACAAGACCTTTCCAAATGTAGTCTTCTTTTTTTTTTAAATTGTTTCCTCAACCTTGTTTAACCTTTTCTTTCATTTTTTTTTTTTTGAAATCTTAAATAAAGATATTTTTTCCTTCAAATTTTACTTGTAAGCATGTACTAATTACACCTATCACAATTCTTTGAACTTGCTCCTCAGCAATGAAATTCTATTTCATTTACTGACCAAAATTTCAAAATAATATTCACCCCCCCCCCCCCAAAAGATTACCCAGTGGCCTGGAAATAAACCATTTTGGAAAAGGCAGCTTACTTCATCATAAATATGTACTTAGATCATTGGCATAATACCCAGGAGCAAAGGAAAAGATTTTCAAAGAATTCATGCATTTTCATTATATAATCATAAACATTAGAGCACCGCCCTAACATAATAAGCCCTGAAATTCACAAATCCCGCAGAGGCATCCTTCCTCCTCATAACTATGTACATAGTTCATTGGTTTAATACCCAGGCGCAGAAAAGAAGATTTTCAAAGAAATGATTCATTTTCACTATATAACCTTTAAAATCACCTAGCATTTTTAACCCCTGACCCTGGGAACTTGAAATTCACAATTTTGGAAGAGGCAGCCTTATTCAACATAACGATGCACTTGATTAGTTTATTAAATGCCCATGAGCCCAGAAGAAGAATTTCATTTATGCATTTGCAATATATGATCTATATAGCCCTGCCCTAGGTGTGTCCTTATTTTCATGAAATTCACAGTTTTGGAGAGGCAGCCTTATTCAACATAACGATGCACTTGATTAGTTTATTTAATGCCCATTTCAAGAACAAAAATTTCAAAGAATTTATGCATTTTCACTATGACAACTCAGCTATAAAAGAACCCTAGCAATCAATCAAAAAAATATCCTGGGCCATGAAATTCACAATTTTGGAAAAGGCAGTCTTTTTCAACATAACTATGCACTTGGTTAGTTTATTTAATGCCCAGGAGCAGAAAAGCAGAATTTCAAAGAAATAATGCATTTCCACTATATAACCTATTTAGCCCCGCCCTAGCACTAGAACCCCGACCCTGGGGCCCTGAATTTCACAGTTTTAGTGGAGGACTCAATCATACCAACTGCTTGACTGCTTGATGTCCTGGAGTAAAGAAGAAGATTTTTAAAGATTGCACTAATTTTACTGGTTTTGCCCCCACCCCCCAGGGGGGCAGGGACCATGAAATTCAGACTTTGAGTTATACCCATAGATGCTATATGCCAAAATTGGTTGAAATTGGTTCAGTGGTTTCAGAGAAGAAGCTGAAAATGTTCAAATGTTAAAGAACGACTACGGACGAAAACGAATAGCAATAGGTCACCTGAGTTTACTCACGTGACCTAACAATAATCTATTTCAATATAAAAACAATCTTGGTTCAAATCCTTTATTGCATAACATATCTACAATAAGCTACGGACTGATTCAGAGTAAATGCAAGGGGAAAATAGAGTGAATAAATTAATGAAAATAAATACAAAGGAATAAATAGATATACAGTGGAAAGCAAGATGGGCTAGGTAAGAAATTACTCAGATCTTTAAAGGGAGGCAAGATTTGTATCAAAGCCATAATTATAACAAGCAGAGATTCCTATTATCAAGGGAGTAAATGTTAACATTTTAACATTAATAACTACCAAAGGAAAAGTTTTCATATACAAAAAATATCAAAGAAATATAAACTGCTTCAAAAAAACTCTGGACATGAATCGTATAATGTACATGTATTTCGCTTTTGAAAACAATGGACGGATCATACAAGTACGAATAATGTGTAGGTACATGTGTAATAAAAAATAAATAAAAAGAGTTGTCTCCCATTAGTAGCCTCATTCTATCATTGATTCAACAGTCTTCTTTTTAAACAAGGTTATTTGTACATAATCATTTAATCCAACATATCAATAACATAACTTCAGAAACAGTCATTAATTTACAAGTACTCAAAATATCTACATAGATCTCTCTACAAGTGGAGAAACAACTATAAATTAGCTGTACATTCTTTTGTTGTACCACTGATTTTTGTCTTTTACCATTCAGTTGTCAACTAAGCATCATTATTATTGGAAAATATACATAATAATCACTGTGTTCAAATTGTTTTGTTCAATTCACAGGAAAACTGGCTTTTCATTATGGCATAATATTGTACATCAGGTTAAAAAACTATTTACCTACAAATGAAGGCCATAATATTATCATGACTTACATAATGCCAGGACTTCACATGATAAATGTTTCTTTTGTGCTTAGTCTATTAAAGCTCTGTTAGTACAGTCTATAAACATATCACACCTTCATTATAGCTGTCAGTTAGTGCTATATGTGAGAGACTCCCAATTAAAAGTCCTCATTGTCACTATCAATAAACTCGGGGGAGGGAGAGGCCCCACTTTCTAACATATTCAGGTCCTGTACAAGTTCCCCCCTCTCACTGATGTAAGACTGCTCGAAGCTTTCCATGCTATAGTTATAATCACTCATCTTAGACTTGTGCTCGGGTGATTCTTTCTCACTCTGAATGTCTCGCTTTGACCGAGCCTTGCTCTCATCGTCACTGAGTTTTCTGCCTCGAGGTTGAGGCTTCGGTCGACTCGGTAATTCCGATACTTCTGTCTCACTGGTCTCAAAGTCTGGCAGGTCCTGTAGGATTTCTTCTCTTAATCCGTGAGAAAAGTCCTCAGAAAACAGATCCGATTTATGCTCTTTCCGTACGTCTCCTTGCTTTTTTCCATTTTTTACCGATTCTTTTTCCTCCTTTGGAGAAACTCGTCCTTTGGTTGAGAAGTCCATTTTCTCTGATTGACTGAGGTCCTTGGCGGGTAAGATGTCCGCCACGGTGGAATTCTCCGGCCTAACATGAGAGAACATCCCGCTCGTCTCATGTAAGATTATTCGTCAAGGTCAGTGTTTCCTCATTGGTCCTCGATCGTAACTACTGTCCTGGTACTCCCCCTCCATCGTAGGATCAACGTTCCTCATGTACTTCTCCTCATCAATGAAGGACCCGTCGTGGAAATCCCGGAATTTCTTGTCAAATGCCGACAAGTTGGCGTCGTTATCCCCACCCTTGGGTCCCGTGGTGGAGCTGCCCACCCTCCCTACAGCGGAGATGTCCCCAAAATAAGAGGACTTCATGGTGGGTTTGGTGGGCCTGACCGGGATCTTGGATGGGCTGGAGGTGTAGAGGGGTTTGTTTGACCTTTGACTTGTCTGTTTTGCCTGAGCCAGGCCCTGAGAGAAGGGTGACTCCTTCTGATCCAAGCCTGCCATAGTGATCAGCTGACCCAACCTTCAAACAGAAAAAATATGTAATTTACTTTTCATCAAAATTATCATTTAAAAAACTCAGCAAACTAGAAAAACTGACC